TCGGTTGTTAAAGCCTGGGGAAGCTGAGGGGAAATGTGGAGTAACTGCTAATGGGTACAGAACTTCCTTTTGGAGTGACAAAAATGCTCTAAAATTGATTGTGATAATAGTTGTACCATACTCTGTGAATAGTCTAAAAACTACTGCATTAATATCCTTCCAGTGGGAGAGCAGCATGAGGTGTGAACACTGTGGCGGCTGGCCAAAGCACTGATGAGAGTACTAAGGACACACATTCGACAGAAGGAAAAGCCTCATGTCAATAATACAAGTTCCCTCCTCAAGAACCCAGGGGAAAAGAGCAAAAGAAACCCATGGCAAGTAGAAGGGAGGAAAGAAATAATATGGACAGGAGCAGAAATCAATGACATTGAAAACACAAAGATACTGTTTCTTGGTCTTTCTGCTAAGATCAAGTGAAAACAAAATAGCTAGTTCATTGAGAAGATCAACGAACCAGAAAGACAGTGATGACACAAATTGCAAGTAAGTATCAAGAATGAAACAGGAGCTGTCACAACAGCAGACAATACAGACATCAAAGGCATAAGTGAATCCTACACACGACTCTACCCACAGACTTGACAACATTTAGACAAAATACTCATTCTGTGAAATACAAACTACCCCAGCTCACTCAATATGAAGTAACTGGAATAGTCCTGCAAATATTAAGGAAACTGACTTTGTGACTGTAAAAGTCAGAAAGCAATGTCCAGGCCCAGATGGCTTCACTGGAGGTATCTACAAGACATTTAAAGAATTAACAGGGGTTGGGGCTGGCGCTGTGGCATAGTGGGTTAAGCTGCCGCTTGCAGTGCCGGCATCCCGGTTCAAGACCTGGCTGCTCCACTTCTGATCCAGCTCTCTGCTATGGCCTGGAAAAGCAGTGGAAGATGGACCAAGTGCTTGGGCCCCTGCACCTGCGTGGGAGACCTGGAGGAAGCTCCTGGCTCCTGGCTTTGGATCACCACAGCTCCGGCCGTTGCTGCCAATTGGGGAGTGAACCAGCAGATGGAAGACCTCTCTCACTCTCTCTGCCTCTCCTCTCTCTGTGTAACTGATTTTCAAATAATTAAATAAAACTTGAAAAAAAAAAAAAAAAAAGAATTAACTGGGCCTAGCATTGTGCTGTACCAGGTTAATCTGCTGTCTACAGTGCTGGCATCCCATATGGCTACTTCACTTCCAGTCCAGCTCCCTGCTAATGCACCTGGGAATGCAGCAGAAGATGGTGCAAGTCCTTGGGCCACTGCACCCATGGGGGAGACCTGGAAAAAGCTCCTGAGCTCCTGGCTTTGGCCTGACCCAGCCCTGGCTGTTGTGGCCATTTGGGGAGTGAACCAATGGGATGGAAAATTTTTGTCTCTCCTCTCTCTGTAACTCTGCCTCTCAAATAAATAAAAAAATCTTTTAAAAAAAGAGAGAGAATTAAAAACAGTTCCACACAATCTCTCCAGAAAACAGAAGAGGAAACACTTCACAACTCATTTTATGACACTGGTTAAAGCACAAAGAAATAAAACTACAAACCAACAGCACTCATGAATATAGAAGCAAAAATCCTAAACAAAATATTAGTAAGTAAATTTCAGTAATAACAATTATACATCATGACCAAGTTAGGTACATCTTAGGGATGCAAAGCAGATTCCCTATTTGAAATCAATGTCACTCACCATATTAAGAGGCTAAAGAGACATAATGTCAATTAATGCAGAAAACGCGTTTCACAAAATTTAAAACTCACTCATGATAAACGCTCATAAAACAGAAACAACAGAAACCTTCCTTACCCTCACAAGGAAAATCTACAAAAACCCTGCAGCTACCATTATAATAAATGGTGAAAAACTGAAAGTTTTCCCTTAAGACCTCAACACAAGGATGTTTGTTCTCACTGTTTTTATTCAACATGGTGCTGCGTATGCCAGCCATTCAATGGGGCAAGAAAAACACAACACGTACACATCAAGAGAAAACCACTTCTACGTACAGATGACAAACCTGTCTACATAAACAACTCCAGCACAATTCCTAGCATGAGGGGTGGGTTTTTGGCATGGTGATTAAGATTCAGCTTGAGACCCCCACATCCTATATTTGAATACCTGGGTTCAAGTCCTGACTCTGCTCCCGGTTCCAGCTTCCTGCCCATGTACACCCTAGGAGGCAGCAGGTGATGGCTCAAGTAATTGGGTCCCTATCACCCTCATAGGAAACCTACATGGAATTCCCAGCTCCTAGCTTTGTTCGGCCCATGGGCAGGCATTTGGGAAGTCAATCAGTGGATAGGAGATATATCTTGCTCTGTCTCTCTTACAAATAAATAAAATTGGGGGGCCGGCACTGTGGTGCAGTGGGTTAAAGCCCTGGCCTGAAGTGCTGGCATCCCATATGGGCATCAGTTCAAGTCCTGGCTGCTCCTCTTCCTATCCAGCTCTCTGCTAAGCCTGAGAAAGCAGTAGAGGATGGCCCAAGTCCTTGGGCCCCTGCACTCATATAGGAGGCCTGGAAGAAGCTCCTGGCTCCTGGCTTCAGATCAGCTCAGCTCTGGCCATTGCAGTCATTTGGGGAGTGAACCAGTGGAATGGAAGACCTCTCTCTCTCTCTCTCTGGCTCTACCTCTCTCTGTAACTGTCTTTAAAAAAAAAAAAAAAAAAAAGACAAATAAATAAAATTGAAAACTTTGTTTTGAAGATTTATTTATATATTTGAAAGGCAGAGTGACAAGAGATCCTCCTCTGACTTACTCCTGAAATGGTGGCAACAGCCAGGTCTGGGCCAGAAACTCCATCCAGGTCTCCCACATGAATGGTGGGAATCCAAATACTTAGGCTCTAATAAATCTTGTGTTTAAATCTCAAGAAAAGGGGCCAGCGCCATGGCTCACATGGTTAATCCTCCGCCTGCGACACCAGCATCCCATATGGGCGCCGGGTTCTGGTACTGGTTGCTCTTCTTCCAGTCCAGCTCTCTGCTGTGGCCCAGGAGGGCAGTGGAGGATGGCCCAGGTGGTTGGGCCCCTGCACCCGCATGGGAGACCAGGAGGAGGCTCCTGGCTCCTGGCTTCGGATCAGCTTAGCTCTGGCCATGGCAGCCATTTTGGGGGTGAACCAACAGAAGGAGGACCTTTCTCTGTCTCTCTCTCACTGTCTAACTCTATCTGTCAAACAAACAAACAAACAAACAAACAAAAAACACAAAAAAACAAACTCAAGCCGGCGCCGTGGCTCAATAGGCTAATCCTCCACCTTGCGGCGCCAGCACACCGGGTTCTAGTCCCAGTTGGGGCGCCGGATTCTGTCCCGGTTGCCCCTCTTCCAGGCCAGCTCTCTGCTATGGCCAGGGAGTGCAGTGGAGGATGGCCCAGGTGCTTGGGCCCTGCACCCCATGGGAGACCAGGAAAAGCACCTGGATCCTGGCTCCTGCCATCGGATCAGCGCGGTGCGCCGGCTGCAGCGGCGGCCATTGGAGGGTGATCCAACGGCAAAGGAAGACCTTTCTCTCTCTCACTGTCCACTCTGCCTGTCAAAAAAAAAAAAAAAAAAACAAAAAAAAAAAAAAAAAAAAAAAAAAAAAACAAACTCAAGAAAAAAAAATAAGTCAGTGAGAGAGAGGTATCTCTCATCCAGAACTCACTCCCCAAATGCCCAAAACAGCTAGGCACTAATATATGCAGCAACCTAAATCAGTGTCTAGAGAATTATGCAAAGTGAAAATTGCCAATCTCAACAGGACACATAATTCATTATAAATGTCAAAATTACAGAAATGGAGTTTTTTTTTTTAAAGATTTATTCATTTATTTGAAAGACAGAGAGAGAGAGATTTCCATCAGCTGGTTCACCCCCCAGCTGACCTCAACAGCCAGGGCTGGGCCAGACCAAAGCCAGGAGCCAGGAGATTCATCTCATGCCCCATGTGGGTGGCAGGGACCCAAGCACTTAAGCCATCTTCCACTGCTTTTCCAGGTACATAAGCAGGGAGCTGGATCAGAAATGGAGCAGCTGGGACTCCAATGGGTGCCCACATGTGATGCTGGCATCACAGGCAGATCAACCCACTGCATAACAGTGACCCCAGAGAACAGATTAACGGTTGTCAGGAATTAAGGACACAGTGGAACACAGCTGTAAATAACACAGCTATATATAAGTACTTGAAGGGAGCTGGTGCTGTGGTGCAGTGGGTAAAGCTGCTGCCTACAGCATGGGCGTTCATCTCAGCTGCCCCACTTCTGATCCAGCTCTGTTAATGCCCCCGGGAAACCAGTAGAAGATGGTCCAAGTGCTTGGGCCCCTACACCCACGTGGGAGACCCAGAAGCTCCTGGCTTCAGCCTAGCCTAGGCCTGGCCGCTACAGACATATGGGAGTGAATCTTCCAGCGGATGGAAGATTCTGTTTCTCCATTCTTTCAAATAAATAAATATTTTTTTTATTTTTTATTTAGTAAATATAAATTTTCAAAGTACAGTTAATGGATTACAATGGCTCCCCCCCATAATTTCCCTCCCACTCACACCCCTCCCATCTCCCGCTCCCTCTCCCATTCCATTCACATCAAGATTCATTTTCAATTATCTTTATATACAGAAGATCGATTTAGTATATATTAAGATTTCATCAGTTTGCACCCACACAGAAACACAAAGTGTAAAATACTGTTTCAGTACTAGTTATAGCATTACTTCACATTGGACAACACATTAAGGACAGAGATCCCACATGAGAAGTAAGTACACAGTGACTCCTGTTGTTGACTTAACATTTTGACACTCTTGTTTATGGCATCAGTAATCTCCCTAGGCCCTAGTCATGAGTTGCCAAGGCTATGGAAGCCTTTTGAGTTCGCCGACTTCGATCTTATTCCGACAGGGTCATAGTCAAAGTGGAAGTTCTCTTCCCTTCAGAGAAAGGTACCTCCTTCTTTGATGGCCCCGTTCTTTCCACTGGGATCTCACTCGCAGAGATCATCCATTTAGGTCTTCCTCCCCCCCCCCCCCAGGGTGTCTTGGCTTTCCATGCCTAAAATACTCTCATGGGCTCTTCAGCCAGATCCAAATGCCCTAAGGGCTGATTCTGAGGCCAGAGTGCTGTTTAGGACATCTGTCATTCTATGAGTCTACTGTGTATCCCGCTTCCCATGATGGATCGTTCTCTCCCTTTTTGATTCTATCAGTTAGTATTAGCAGACACTAGACTTGTTTGTGTGATCCCTTTGACTCTTAGACCCATCAGTCAAGAAATAAATATTTTTAAAAAGTACAGGAGGAGTATAGCTTGTAAGGGCAGCAGGGGGGATCCCTGAGGCTGGTGACAGAAATGTTCTGTCTTGACTGCTTCATTTTCTACATTCAGGCTCTGATACTGTATTTTCAAGATGTTACTACTGGGGGAAATTGGGTAAGGACAACAGATCTCCATATATTGTCTCAGAATAAAAAGCTGAATTAAGAAAAAACAAGTTATCTGTATTACTGTATACTGGAAAGGAATGTAGAAAGCTTAAGTGAAATAACAAAGAGGCAGACTAAAATGTTAGGCATGCATAAGACAACTTTCTTCTGACGTGAGAGGCAATTCTAGTGCCCAAGTGTTTAAAGCAAATAATAATATTTATTTGGTTACTTGAAAGAGAGTTTCCATTTGCTGGTTCACTCCCCTAGATGGCCACCACAGCCAGAGATGGGTCAGGCACAGGCCAAGCAGAAGCCAGGAGCCAAGAGCTTCATCCAGGTCTCCCATGTGGGTAGAAGGGACCCAAGTACTTGGGTCATCCTTCATTGCTTTTCATTGAATGGAAGCCATTCATTGCTTTTCCCAGGCCATCAGCAGGGAGTTCAAAATGGAGCAAAATGGGGCCTGCGCCACGGCTCAATAGGCTAATCCTCCGCCTTACGGCGCTGGCACACCGGGTTCTAGTCCCAGTCGGGGCACTGGATTCTGTCCCGGTTGCCCCTCTTCCAGGCCAGCCCTCTGCTATGGCCCGGGAGTGCAGTGGAGGATGACCCAAGTGCTGGGGCCCTGCACCCCATGGGAGACCAGGAGAAGCACCTGGCTCCTGGCTTCTGATCAGCGCGGTGCGCCGGCTGCAGCGCACCGGCCACAGCGGCCATTGGAGGGTGAACCAACGGCAAAGGAAGACCTTTCTCTCTGTCTCTCACTGTCCACTCTACCTGTCAAAAAAAAAAAAAAGAGCAAAATGAAGCAGCCAGGACAGGAACTGGCTCCCATAGGAGATGCAGCATTGCAGGTGGTGGCTTTACCTGCTAAACCACGATGCTGGCCCCTCACGTGTTAATCTTATTTTGCCTAATCAAGTCATTCTATGGCCTCAGGTATCAGACACCTTCCCAGCTAGTAACATATATGGATCCCCCATTAACGTCTTCTCAAAACATCTAGTAACCTATTGAAAAAAGTGCTTTAGTTTTCCAGTTAAGAGACAAGATAAACCAACAGGTTATATTTAAGACTATCTTTGTTGGCCCGGTGAAATCTTTTTATGCCCTAAAAGGGATGAAAGAAATAAGAGGATGGAAGGCTGTTGTGGCACATCAGGTTAAGCCTAACATGGAATTCCTATTCTACCTACAATCCAGCTTCCTGCTGATGTGCCTGGGAGGCAGCCACCCACAAGGAAGACACAGATGGGAATTCTTGGCTTCTGGCTTTGGCCTGGCCTGGCCCTGGCTGTTGCAGGTATTTGTGGAGTAAAAGGAGATGGAAGATCTATTTCTCATTCTGTCACCTTGCCTTTCAACTAAATAAATAAACTTTAAAAAAGGGGAGGGGGGCTGTCATTTCTGTCTAAATTCTCTCTTCTTTCACTGCTTCAAAACAGAAGAGTTTAAAGAAGTCTGGCAATCTGTCTATAACATCCTTAGTCCTAAACTCAACTGCATCTCTGTTTCACACACACTTAACTTATTTAAAATATCTACATTTTTAGATTTATTTATTTATTCGAAAGGCAGAGAAAGGGATCTTCCACCTGCTGGTTCACTCCCCAAATGGTCATAACAACTAACTCTGGGCCAGGAGCCTGTAACTCCATCCTGGTCTCCCATATGAATGGCAGGGGCCCAAGTACCTGGGACATCTGCTGCTGCTTTCTCAGATGCAGGAAACTGGATTGAACGTGCAGTAGCCAGGACCTGAATGGGTACTCTAATGGGATTCTGGCATTGCAAATGCGGCTTAACCTGCTGGACCACAACACCACAACATTTATACTTTTTGAGTTTGTCTTCATGTACTTGCTAGAATGAAGATCTTATTCCTTTTGCTATCAGAATAAAAAAAAATTGCACTGAAATTATTAGAACCATCTGAATAAGCCAAAGTAGGGCAATTTCTTCATTCTTTTCCCATTCAGGAGGAAAACAGCACCTTATCCACCACTGGTAAAGAATATTAAAGTTTTTTTTATTATTTTAGATGACAATATTTCGAGAAAAGTCTTTGCTTTCACACAACAGTAAAAATTATATATTACATATTAACACATACAACCATGATATATAATAAAATGCTGTCTGCCCAAAATAATTTTACCATTGTTAAAAAATACCTAAAAGTGGTTTTTAAAGCTGTACATTTTCTCCATTAAAAATTCCTTGCTTTTAATCAGAAAAAAAAAAATACTTGGATATAATATCTGAAAAGTAGGATTCCACCTAAAAAAAGTTCTCTTAAGAAGGAGAGACCTGGGTTTCACTGCATCAGTTCTGTTTTCTTTTTTTTCCTCTTCTTCTTTTCCAACATTTCTATCATTTTCCTCTTCTTGGTCAACACCAGGCTATTTCCTTTTGCTGCCTTATTACGGTTAGCAGTTAAACCACGTTTCTTTACGAGAGGTTTGGCTTGTGCTGCTCCTTCCTGCACTACATCACCAGGTTCCTTTTTGTTGATTTTGGACTGTTCTTCTTTACCTACTGAAACACAAATGACAGCATATTTAAAGAATAGGTTTTTCCTCTTTGGATGCAATAAACATATGCTGACAATCAAGTGGAGTTACTGAGACCTCCACTTCAATAATTCAAAAGGTAACAAATTATGCAATTTTCCCTGTGATCCAGTCTACTTACCAGGAGACGGCTCTGTTGCTGGAGGCAGGCTTTCTTTAGCCTCCATCACAGTGTCCAGCCACACTCCAAGACAGGTCAGCCTGGCACTAGTGTTCACTTCACAGAGTAAAGACGGGGGTGCTTTCTAAAACAGGAACAATTCATAACATGTTAACATGGGAATTCTGAATAATTATTCTTCTTTTCCATACTAAAGTTAGCTTATTTTAAACACTGTATTTCCTTACGTGTAAAATATATTGAGAGTAACCTACTATCTTGATTCAGGATCAGGATGACTTTGCTATTCCTAGAGCCAATTTTGGAGAACTACTCAGAATTACAAATTCCAAGGCAAGGGATCATGTCTCATTCATTTCTAGAGCTTACAAGGACACTTACACAAAATCAACACATTCAACAAGCCACATTCACAGAATGTGTTTACGAGAGAATGGCTGGTAAACAAAGACTGTACAGAAAGGAATTTAATGCTTTAATTATCTGGTTTAAAACTACTATTGACTCCATAATCAGATGGGAGACTCTAAGCTGTTTTTGGCAGTGGCAATATTTTTACTTAATGCTTTACAGAGAACCATAGTATCTGAAAGAGAAAAAGTAGTCCTTCTCTGATTGAAAGGGCAGACAGAGGGAGTTACAGGATTCCACCAGCACAGACCCATTAATGCCAACCCTAAAGAAGTCTTGTGGGAACTTAACTTTAAAATTATTAATAGCAACCATGCCTGGAAGAGCTCTTAAAAGTTTATTTAATGATTTATGTGTTATGACCCAAAGGAAAGTTCCAACTCACTTAAACACAGCAGGAATGTATTAGAGCGTATATGGACTGACCTTATCCTGCTTTAGCTTCCACATCTTGATGAAGCCATCACTCGATGCTGTAACAACTACATGATGCTCTGGAGTTTCAAAACTGAACATGTCTTTGACCCTAGGATGCAAATATCCGCACTGTAAAAAACCTTTCCACTCAAATTGCGCAACACTGGCATGTACAGTTCCTTGCTTTCTCAATACTCCAAGTGCTTTTAAGTGGCTCAATGAACATTGGCTTAAAGAAGAAATTATGTTGTACATTCACATCAGTCAGTGGGACCAGTTTTGGGACCAAAACAGGAGACAAGTTGACTGTCAACCGTATCTGAAGGAAAAGTGAAAAAGATGACGATGGATAATTATAATCAGGTCATCAGAAAGGAAACAGTCTTGCATTTCAATCAGCTCCAGGTTCAGTAAGGAATGAAAAGACGATTGAAATGAGAATCCAAGGCTGCCCCCTGTGTACTCAGTTCCCTCATCTCCACGGCCAACATCGCTAGTCTAAGCCACTATCATTTCTCTTCTGGATTATGAAGGTAGCCTAACTGGCCTATTTCCATTTTTGCCCCCTTAAAAATTTTAAAAATGTAAACCAAGTTATATCTGGCAAAGCTACGATTTGCTTTAAAATAACACGAGAGGAAGAAGTGGCTGGGGATACAGATGAAAACTGCAAGTGAGGGCTGAAGGCAGTGGAGGATGTGCAGGCATTTTCCTTAAACTGGTCTGCCTGCCTTGACATTCTCCCATCATAAACAGTCAAAACGCAGTGCACCAAAGTCCTCAGTACACAATCTCAACTCCTCACCCTGGGTCCACAGCCACACAGTCACCTTCTACCATCCGCCCTCCCCTGCTCACCCTGATTCAGTCATGCAGGTCTTCTACCTGTTCCTAAAACACACCAAGCAGAAAAACCACAAGCCTTGCTCTATGAAACTACATTATATATTTATTGAGGCTACACACACACGAGATGAAAATACCTGTTTTCATGAGCTTTAAATTCACAGAGGCATGTTAACGAATCACAGTCAAAAAACCTGATAATTTCTTCATCTCCAGCCACTGCCAGGACGGAGTCCTAGGAGAGAGAACATCCAGATCATCACCATCAACTCCGACCATCGCCTGCATGACCACCACTGTTCCGACCACTTACTGAAAGAAATGTAACAGAAGAAATTCTCTTTTCATTTGTGATGGTGCCACTAACAGACGCGGTGCTGAGCTGGTAGACGTCTATTTTATTCAGTATGACAACTATGTACTTCTCTCCCTTAGGGGACCATTCCACTATATGAGCATCTGTAAGTTAAAAAATAATTCAAAATAAAATTATCCAAGCAACAAAAATAGCACGTATTTACACTGTGCATCTTCACATCCGTTATTCTATTTGCTCTCAATAAGCTAATGATACACTTTTTGCAAGTTCAATTTTAGAAAATAAAGTAGGTTCAAAGTATCACTGAAGCCTAAGTAATTGGTAGATGGCAGAGTCATAAGAACTCAGGTCTAGGGGACTGGTGCTGTGGTGCAGCAGGTCGAAGCCATGGCCTGAAGCACCGGCATCCCATATGGGCGCTGGGTTCTAGTCCCAGCTGTTCCTCTTCCGATCCAGCTCTCTGCTATGGCCTGGGAGAGCAATAGAAGATGGCCCAAGTCCTTGGGTCCCTGCACCCACGTCTGAGACCCAGAAGAAGCTCCTGGCTTCGGATTGGCACAGCTCCAACCGTTGCAGCCATCTGGGGAGTGAACCATTGGATGGAGGACCTCTCTGTCTGTCTCTACCTCTCTCTGTAACTCTTTCAAATAAATAAAATAATCCAAAAAAAAAGAAAAAAAAAGGAACTCAGGTCTAAAAAGGGAAAACAACCTAAAACCTCTGCTCTGAGGTCACCACCACCAAGAATGTTGTGCAAAGAGGTTGTTTCAAAAAGTTCATGGAAAATGGAAATAATAGATATGCTTATTTTGGTCCCCCAAACTGCTGAAATCCAGGCACTTAAGAGACCTTCAAAAAGCTCATGGAGATTGAGTATTTCAAAAAACAATGCATGGATTCCAACATTTAGAGGTACTAAAATAAACATCTCTTAATTCCACTTTCCATGAACTTTTTGAAGTATGCCTGTATATTCAAATTCCATTCCATTATTAGAAAACACGTTTCAAATATACTCACTTTGTTTTATATTTTTTATGAATGCTGATCTTCCCTCCACAAGATTCCATGTTCTACAAAACAGGAAGCTCACTTATGGTATGATCATTAATTAACATTCACTAATTTGAAAATATTAAATATTAAAAAATAAGCTTACTGAAGATTTACTCAAATGGCAATTTTACTAAATAATGGCTATTTAAAGGCTCTGCCATCTTCCTAAGAGCAACATCTTACAATGTTTATGACCAAGCAGGACTAAAGGTCACTGGTTTCCACACTACCTCAATGTTGCAGACATTGTAGTTTCACACAATTTACCTTCCTAAAACTCCTCCCCTTCCAGGACCACCCTGCTCTTCACTTCACAGCTGACCATGTCTGAACGTAGAGCTTGCTGCTTCCATCTTATCATGATGGGAGGACTCACTAGCTTTCAACCACTCCTTTGTATCATTATTATATCTGTATCATTATTATAGCGCTGGTGATTTACCTTAATGTCTTATCTGTTCCTACAGATAGGGCCAACTTGCCAGAGGGGTGAATGGAGAGGAAGGTCACATGTCCCCTAAAATGAAACCAATAGTTAGCCTCCACCTGCGTGGCACAGGACAAGGCCGACTGGAAGGTGCCGACTCACTTGTGAGCTTTAATCGACTTCAGACACTCCCACTTCTTCGCATCCCAGACACAGATGAGTCCATCCTCCGCCCCACTGATTAAGTGCCTGCTGCCATGGAATTTCAGGCAAGTAATTGTTCCTGAGAAAAAATGAAAGCAGGCAAAATAAATATCCATTTTGAATGCAAACTTCACTTCTAGTTTGAAAGCTATTGTATAGTAAGAACAGCCAATGTCTTAATATTATTGAAATGTATTTTAAAGTCTAGGGTGAAAAAATTAAGTTGTTTTCACAAAAGAACACAGAATCACAAATCCATGCAAAAAATCTCAGCAGTTTCTCCATCTGTAGACATAGATTTGAACTAATCAACTCATGTTCTGGCTTTAGGTCCCCATAATTATAAACTTAGGAGAAGAATAGCTAAAATAGTTTGGGCAAGAGTTAAACAAAACTAACCAGTTAACCTAGAGAACACTCCAAGAAGGACAGTCACGTGACTGCCACCTTCTGATCAGTGAGCTGGTGACCTCATCCGCCACTGTTCCATTATTTCAATGTTCTTCTCACTCACTGTCATGAGATTTTCACAACAAATCTCTGAAATTCCATACTCTCCAGCTAGCCCCCAGGAAACTCCTCCCCGCTAACAAAGCTTCCTTCATCTTTTCAACATTCCACACTCCTCTGCCAGAACTGAAGTCTGGGTCTCTGACATATTTCCCTAACAACTCGAATATCAGAAGACCGGTGCTCCCTAAGCAGACGCACCCTCCTGTGAGGTGTGTCATCCCGCCCAGCCACCCGAAAGCTCCAGGCGCGGCACTCCACGGCCGCAGACCAAATCTAGCTGGTGGCCTGTGCAAAGGCAGTTTACTGGGGAAGAGCAACACTCACTCAGCTACAGAACGTCCATGGCTGCTTTGCACAACAGCAGAGCTGAGAAATTTTAACACAGTCCCTGCGGCTCCCAGGGGCTAAGGTTTACTACTTGGCCCTTCATAGTTGGAGTTTGCACCCCGGGTCATTGTGTCCCACTTCATGCCTCCTAGTCAATCCCCTCATGCTCAAAGAGCCAAAGGTCTTGGACGCAAAATGCAACAAGCAACGAAAGCACTGGTAATACGTGGGCTTATGCACCACCTTCTTTCTTTTTTTTTTTTTACAGGCAGAGCGGACAGTGAGAGAGAGAGACTGAGAGAAAGGTCTTCCTTTTGCCGTTGGTTCACCCTCCAATGGCCGCTGCGGCCGGCACGCTGCAGCCGGCACACCGCGCTGATCCGAAGGCAGGAGCCAGGTACTTATCCTGGTCTCCCATGGGGTGCAGGGCCCAAGCACTTGGGCCATCCTCCACTGCACTCCCTGGCCACAGCAGAGAGTTGGCCTGGAAGAGGGGCAACCGGGACAGAATCCGGCGCCCCGACCGGGACTAGAACCCGGCGTACCGGCGCCGCAAGGTGGAGGATTAGCCTATTGAGCCGTGGCGCCGGCTATGCACCACCTTCTTCCCGAAGCAGGGGGGGGTGATGACCTTGGACTGTGTTTTCCTCTTTCCCTAAAATCCCATTTCTTACTTTGGAAATGTTTTCTTACATCTGGTTCCTAGAAATGAGCTCATCTACTACCCACTGTTTTAAAAAAAAAAAAAAAAAAAAAAACAGGATTTATAGAGGAATACAGGAAACCAAGAGCCCTACTTCACGCATTCCCTGTCTGAACTCCTAAGTCAGGCCTTTTCTTATTAAACACTCATACTAATAGGTGTGCACAGACCAGTTTTGGTTAACATATTTCTTCCATGCCTAAGAAAGAAGCCTTCCATGAATGAACTAGTACTGGGAGACAGAAAGGGAAAAGGAATATAAGGTGAAATCACTCAAAGTCTAACTTATGCTGCAAAGCCAGACACTTGTCAAAGTAGCTAAGCACTATCTAACCGAAGGCAAACGTTTAACACTCTAACTTTACTGCTAGACACCAATGGCTGGTGTGGAACTTGGGAGCGGGGAAAAAGGCACCCATCTTATCACTGTAGGAACCAACTTTCATGGCTGACTGCCCCAAACCTAGTATGCATCTACTTGATCCTACTATTTTGAGTTCTTCATTTTCTTCTCCTTATCAAAGAGATATTAGACTCTTATTCTCTGTCCCCTGGGGAAATGTAATGAAAACAACATGTAATGTTCGCTACTGAGAGAAAAATTACTGCTTACTCTCTCCACCACTCCTGCCACTATCCCGGCAACTTTACCATGAGCATGGAAAACCCAACCACAAGCTGGGAATTCTCACTCCTTGATCTCAATTCTAGCAACCTTCGTCTCCTCTGCTTTTCTGTCCCACACCTGCAGCTGGCGCTATTTCCAGCTAAAGCTGTCCCGCATCAGGACTCTTCAACTCTAGGACTCCCTTCTGATTACCAACTCACGACTTCCCAGTGCTTTCATGCTTCCCACATTCACATTCCAGCTGCACTTTCAGCTGGCAACTTCCACCACTCATTCACCCACATCTTCAGTTCCCTTTAACTCAATCCTATTGCGCACAACAACTAAACTTCTTCCTCTACAGAGTCTGCGGGTTACTACTGGCGGGTTACTACTGAAGACAAGTCAGAAAACCCTTCAAAAGAACGTTACTCAGTTCACAGCTCCCCGCTTCAACTGGATAGGCCCGTGTCAATCAGCATAGCACCTCTCACATCCAACCCACACCTCCCAATCGGTCCTTAGCCACCTTCTCTCCAGGACCTCCAGGATTTTGCCCCAACTACTTTTGCAGCCCCTCCAAACTCCACTTCAGCCTCTCATAACCCTGAACCAGCGCACAGTTTCCCATAAACACCAGGGGTTATAAACACAAGCTTCTGACCTAGGTTCGAGTTCTAGCTCCAGTTTTGAGATACTGGGCAAGCCACGCAGTATCTTTGAACCTGGGTGTTCTCTTCTATTAACTGAAGATACAACTGCCCCTTCTTGGCACACTGCTGGGTACAGGAACCCCCTCAATAAAGGGACACACTGCTATGCTGCTGCCGCTTGGTGGCTCACGCTGCCTGCCCTGTCTGGGATACCCTTTCTTCTAACAACCAACAATTCTCTCTTCAGATAACACAGATGCCATCCTAAAGAGGCTTTCTGCACTGGCATCCCACAGTTCATGTCCCGACTGCTCCACTTCTAATCCAGCTCCCTGATAGTGCACCTGGGCAAAGCAGAAGATGGCCCAAGAGCTTGGGCCCCTGCTACCCAAGTGGGAGACCCAGAAGAAGGTCCTGGCTCCTCGCTTCAGCCTGGCACAGTGCTGGCCATTGTGACCATCTGGGGAGTGAACCAGTGGATGGAAGATCTCTCTCTCTCTAACTCTGACCTTCAAGCAAATAAATAAATCTTTTTTTAAAATTAAAATGTTTGTCTGCTAATATATAGCACAATACAAATGGAAAAAAAAATAAAGAGGCTTTCTGTAAGACCTCACCCCTGAGCTCCCTACCCTTATTCCAACTATGAGCAACCTGAGGGCGCGCAACCGTTTTTTCTTTCCCATTTTTATATCTCCTAGCACAGAATCAGTGATGGAGCAGACTCAATGAATTGCTACCTGGAGTCAAGTGATAAAGGCACAGCATCTCTGAGTTATCATCTTAGCAAACACAGCCTTCTCACCATTGTGATGCACCAGAGCCCCGTGCTCTATCTTCTTTCTCATGTCGTAAATGTGAATCGTTTCATCTTTGCTCCCAGTGACTACGAAACGACTGTTCACAGCCACTGCCGACAAGGAGGCGGTGTGGGCGTGGTGAGTGAAGTGAGCGACCGCAGTCCATTTCTGCTGGAGGTAAAACATACCATTAACATGACAGTCACACCACAGTTTCAACAAACAGATTAATGCTTCCACAGTCCATGGAAATTACCAGTGGACCCAACCAAGTGGAGAAGCACCCCATGCTGATAACGTGGATTAAAAACAAAAGAACAGAGGCAGGTATTTGGTGCAGTGGTTAAGACGCCACCTCGGTGCCCACACCCCATATCAGAGTGCCTGGGTTCAAGACCCAGCTCTGCTTCTAATCCCAGCTGCCTGCTAGTGCACACTTTGGGAGTCAGCAGGTGATGGCTAAGGTAGATGGATGTCTGCCACCCATATGGGAAATCTGAATTGAATTACAGGCTACTGGCTTCAGCTTGGCCCAGTCCTGGCTTGATGTGGCATTTGGGGAATCAGTGGGCAGAAGATTTCTGTATTTGCCTTTCAAATAAATAAAGAAAATTTTGAAAAGAAAAGGCCAACCTGAGAACTGAATGAAGAACATAAAGCTAGGAGGTGGGACAGTAAGGCTGGGCAGCGTGAGTCTAGAACACAATATGGTAACTGGGCTACACAGATTTTTAGGTTTTATCCAAATATTTAACTCTTTAATGTACTTGCAGTGACCTGTATGTAAGACTTCCATGTTCCATTCACTCAATTGTTCAAATTCTTACTTTAATTTGTTCATTCAAATTATGAGTGCCTACTGGCAAGTGATAAAACAGCAGTGAACCAAAGACAAAATAGAGTTTCCATTCCAGCAGGAGAGACAGATGATAAACAATTTAACACGATGTGACATAAAGGGTAAGTATGGGGGATGGCGTAGTGGCACAGCAGGTTAAGTAGCTGCCTGTGATGCCAGCATCCTATATGGAAGCCAGTTTCAGTCTCGGCTGCTCCTCTTCCGATCCAGCTCCCTGTTAATGTGCCTGAGAAAGTGGCTGAAGATGACCTGAGTGCTTGGGCCCCTGCCACCCATGTGGGAGACCTTGATGGAGTTTCGGGCTTCTGGCTTTTGCCTGGCCCAGCCCTGGTCATGCCAGTCATCTGAAGAGTGAATCAGTGGATGCAAGATTTCTTTCTCTCCCTTGCTCTCTGCAACTCTTTCAAATAAACTAAATCTTAAAATATATGTAAGTACAAAGACAAATCCTATTAAGAAATGCATCAAAATATTAACAAGACAAATAAACCAAAGAAGAAAACAGCCTCAGGGCTGGCACGGTGGTGTAGTGAGTTAACCCACCACCTCATATGAGTGCTAGTTCCAGTCACGGTCGCTCCACTTCCAATCCAGCTTTCTGCTGTTGCACTTGGGAAAGCAGTGGAGGGTGCCCCAAGTGCTTGGGCCCCTGCACCCATGTGGCCTGGCCCAGCCCTAGTTGTCGAGGCCGTCTGGGGAGTGAATCAGTGGATGAAGATCTCTCTCTCTGTAACTCTTTCAAATAAGTTAAAAACAAACAAACAAACAACCTCACCAGACTTCTCTGAACACACATAAGAACTGTCAATGCAAATTAAGCCCTCGTGTCAGTCTGGACCAAGGAGGCCTCTGAGTCAAAGCAAACACTCAACAGTAACTACGGAGGTAACACTGGTCACCTGGATCACCTGGCCCACCGTCCAGATTCAGAGGAGGGCACGGCGTCGAGTGTCAGACACCAGAGGGCCCCTGACGGTTTGGCTCAGCTCTGCCAGTGATGCCTACATCTCCTGCAGTCACGTAACCCACGCACGAGGACCCTGCGTCTCCTTGCAGTCACGTAACCCACGCACGACGACCCTATGTCTCCTTGCAGTCACATAACCCACTCAGAACGACCCTACCTCTCCTTGCAGTCACGTAACCCACGCATGAGGGAGGACCCTGCGTCTCCTTGCAGTCACGTAACCCACGCACGACGACCCTGCGTCTCCTTGCAGTCACGTAACCCATGCACGAGGACCCTGCGTCTCCTTGCAGTCACGTAACCCACGCACGAGAGAGGACCCTGCGTCTCCTTGCAGTCATGTAACCCACGCACGAGGACCCTGCATCTCCTTGCAGTCACGTAACCCACGCACGAGGGAGGACCCTACGTCTCCTTGCAGTCACGTAACCCACACACGAGGGAGGACCCTGCGTCTCCTTGCAGTCACGTAACCCACGCACGAAGGAGGACCCTGCGTCTCCTTGCAGACACGTAACCCACGCACGAGGGAGGACCCTGCGTCTCCTTGCAGTCACGTAACCCACGCACGAGGGAGGACCCTACGTCTCCTTGCAGTCACGTAACCCACACACGAGGACCCTGCGTCTCCTTGCAGTCACGTAACCCCCGCACGAGCACCCCTATCTGCAAGCGGGAGTAAGTCGACCTGCTTCAAAGGTCTGCTAGGTCTGCTGCCTGCTTGGAACCTACTACGTTTACTATCAGAACACAAAAAACCTCAATAATCAAATCTCAATAATCTCATCTTTGAATATTCAAAACAGGCCACCTTTAAGACCAACAACCAGAGCAGATACAAAATAAACAAAAGCAAAAAAATAAAACAAACGCAGCCAAGTCACGCACTTGCAAGTTTTTGGTCAAGACTGACACCTTGACTCCTTCATAGAGAAGAACCAATAAAACGGCTTAGAGATATCCACAGCTGCTTAGGTCAAACAAAGAGTAGGGGACTAAAATCAGGAATTCACGTTTCCATCCTACCTATCTGACTCGGCAACTTTTTGGACTTTTTTACGTACCGATCTAATGAAATACTTATCTTTGACTATAATTTATGCCTATGCATTTAGTTCCCCCATCCTCCACCCTTTATGTCCAGGGCGTCTCGAGCCGAATCTAAACTCCGGCATCGTCCCATCTCTAACACCTGGACCCCAGTAAATAACGCATAAACTGGTATCACTCTCTTTATTAGTTAACATATTTATCCTGATCCACCTCTAACATTCTGCAAAACTCTAAAAGACAGGAACTCGGTGAAAGAGAAGGTGTTTCCTCATTAAATACCTGCGCCAGTTGTCGACGTATGGAAGCGACCTTTAAGTTCACCACTGTGTACGGCTCCTTTGCCCTTTTGCAAAACGCTACCGTGTTCGTACCCTGCGGACATCCCGTCTACTATAAAAGGCAGGCATTATCTCACTATATAAAAATGCCTGCCCCGTGTTTTAAAAGATCCCTTTTTACTGAAACTCCCTGACCTCATTCATCAGCTAATCCCAGGAGTCCCAGCGTTTACCTCTGCCGGGAGGGGACTAAACCTGACCCTCCGAGCACGCACGCCCTGTAGCTGTCCACCGGCTCGCGGGATCTCACCTCGTGGTCGTCGCTCGCCTTGCGCTCCGGCTGTACAGTGAACCCAAACAGCACCTGCTCGTAACAGCCAGCGACCAGCTCCATTCAAAGCGCACGTGCCACTTCCGCGAGCTCCGCTCCGCGAAGGCGAGATGACGGAACCGGAGGCAAACGGAGAGGGGTCCTTCCTGCTTCCGGCGCTCAAGTTATACGTCACTACCTCAGGGCTGCCTTCTAGGCGCCTGTATTCGTGGAAATAATTTCAGCGTTCCGAGATCGTGTGGACCCCCTGCCAAACGAGAATTAGTAAGGACGCCACATAAGGTGGTTCTCATCGCAAGAAAAAAATGGGGGGAAAACAGGCATATTCTAGGAAGCTGGTCTGAGGAGAGGGGGCGGGACATCCTCTGTGGAAGGACCCCGGTTTCCGTGACGTCCAGGAAAGGGGCGGAGCCGGGTTCCTGCTTGGGTGGAGGGGACACGGAGGGGACACGGAGGGGACGGGTCGATGAGTCAGTGCGGAGGGTCTCGTGATGTGCGGAGATGAGCTGAGCTGCTTTCTTAGCGGTCCGAGGGGCGGTCAGCGGAGCCGGGGCTGCAGCGCCAGGCCTGCCCTGGTTCCCTCCGCTTGGTTCGCGCGTCCGGCTCGGGTCAGAGTGTCCTCGTGAGGGGCCTCGTGAGGGCGACCGCTCCCCCGACGGGGTCCGGCGGGCAGATCGGAGGCTTCTAGAAGGAAGCCTCGCGTTTATGCCAAGGCCACGCCCGTCCCCTCCCGCCGCCGTGTCGGGCAGCAAAATCCAGCGTCCGCGGGAGCCCAGGCAGCCGTCCGCGTTAGATGCAGGGCACAGGGTCCGGGATGTGGTGGGAATTCGAGCACTTTCCAAAAGCCCAGGGTCCGCCCCTCACCGAGCGGCCAGATGCAGGACGGCTGGGGCCGACTCCAACCCCGCTTTGAGCTGTGGACACCGTCTCAGTGTTGGCCCTTTATTCCCACGCCCTTTGGTCCTCTGGCGCTCCGAGTTGTGTGTGTGGATATAGACAGGTTAAGTTATTAGTTATTAATAGGTGGGAGTCTGCTGGTCCCCTCTGCAAGTCCGCCTTAGCCAGGGTGGGCCCCCTTCCAGGTCTCCCCAAGTGCGTGAGCCAGCATCTGCCATCGTCCGGGGCTAATCCTCCACCTTGCGGCGCCGGCACACTGGGTTCTAGTCCCGGTCGGGGCGCTGGATTCTGTCCTGGTTGCCCCTCTTCCAGGCCAGCTCTCTGCTGTGGCCTGGGAAGGCAGTGGAGGATGGCCCAAGTGCTTGGGCCCTGCACCCCATGGGAGACCAGGATAAGTACCTGGCTCCTGGCTTCGGATCAGCGCAGAGCGCCGGCCGCGGCGGCTATTGGAGAGTGAACCAACGGCAAAGGAAGACCTTTCTCTCTGTCTCTCTCTCACTATCCACTCTGCCTGTGAAAAAATAAATAAAAAAATAAGGAAACTGGAGTCGGGAGCCCGGGAGCAAAGGCAAGCAGTGCAGAAACGGGTAGAGGTCGCGTGCCCCCCACGCCCTGCGGGTAGAGGTCGCGTGCCCCCACGCCCTGCCGTAGGTTTTTCAGCTGAGAGTTGGCTTCTCACGATGCTCACTGCAGCCCCAGGGAGGCCTTGTCTTCCCCTTGCGCTCGTTTTCTTCGCCATTCTGTAAAGAGTTCCAAGTTATCCTAGCACTGACTGTAGCTGTTTCCTGCGGAGTCCACCGAGGGGGAGCAGGGCTGACATGAGTCCCCTGGGAATGAGTAAGCAGGATGTGTCTTTGGAATCTCATATTTTAATCTTTAAAAATAGGGCTTTTTTGCATTTTAATTCATGGCATTCCCAGTTCATTTTAATACAGCAGTACTGTTCTTCCAAATTTAAAAGCACAAAACTTTGACTAAAGCTGCTTGAAAAATCACATGGTTTATTAAATTCTGCTTCCAAAATGTTCCTGGTACCCCGCCTCGTTACCCCCAGGGAAGTTTCAACTACTGTTTGAGAAGTATTAATAGTCACTTAATGTGTTTTTTGAAACTAATTTTAAATCACGACCGAAACTGGGTAATTACTGTTAAAAGGAAAATTTCCCTAGGCCAGTAAGCAAAGTGTAGTAGAGTTTATTTGAGCAAAACAAAACAATTTATCAATCAAGCAGCTCCCAGAACCACAGCCATTTCTGAGAACTCCAGCCAACAACACAATGAGACAGGGTTTACAGGAAAATGGAGGTGGAATACAGACAACAACTTAATTGGCTACAGCTTGGTCCATCAATCACTCAGTTGCTTAAAGCTTAGTTAAATAATCGGCTTCAGGGTCTCCTGCAACCAACCAAAGCTTAGTTACTGTGATTAAATGCTATTGGTTGGGTATGTTGGGCCCACTGCAGATACCCAGTCAAAACCCATGGCCTCAAATTCTGTGTAACAAAGCATTCAAAGTCTATTATCAGACTGTCACACTTGTACCTGTATAAGTATTTGTCGCCTCTTTAGAAAACGTTTGAGAGACAGGGAGACAGTTTCCATCTGCTGGTTCATTCTCCAAACATCTACAACAGTCAGTGCTTGACCAAGGCCGAATCCTGGAGCCAGGAACTCAATATGGGTTTCCCATTCAGGTGACAGGAGCCCAGTTACTTGAGACATGACTGCTCGTTCCTAGGGTCTGCATTAACAGGAAGCTGAAGTCAAGAACCGGACACTGATGTGGGATTCAGGTGTCTTAATGAGCATCTTATCTACTAGGTTAAACACCTGCCCTATTTTTCCCAGGAGAATCTTGTGGCTTGGTCTTTTGCACCAACCAGGAATAGTAGGATGTAGTTGGGTCTAGGATGAAAACTAGAACGGTCATTCTAAGTGTTTTTTGTTTTTGCTAGAAGTTGATAGAACCAATCCTAGAGCTCAGAGAACTTCAAGGGCATCTAGTACAGGTGGTGTTCATCTGGGGGGAGGTGGGGCAGCGGGCTGATGGGTAAGTTTCGTGAGTTTTGAATCCCCAGAAGTTACATGCAAAACTGTGGATCTAAATCTTTGAAGAAGAGCATTGCTTAACATTTTCAAAGAGAACAGTACCTCATTAAAATGGTTGAAATCCACTAATGCAGCTGTTGGTTATAAATACTGAAATATGTCCAGAAAAGTGAGTTTTAAGACCACCATGGCGGCCGGCGCCGTGGCTCACTAGGCTAATCCTCTGCCTGCAGCGCCGGCATACCAGGTTCTAGTCCCGGTCGGGGCGCCGGATTCTGTCCCGGTTGCCCCTCTTCCAGGCCAGCTCTCTGCTGTGGCCCGGGAGTGCAGTGGAGGATGGCCCAAGTGCTTGGGCCCTGCACCCCATGGGAGACCAGGAGAAGCACCTGGCTCCTGGCTTCAGATCAGCGCGGTGTGCCGGCCACAGCGCACCAGCCGTGGCGGCCATTGGAGGGTGAACCAATGGCAAAAGGAAGACCTTTTTCTCTGTCTCTCTCTCTCTCTCACTATCCACTCTGCCTGTCAAAAAAAAAAAACAAAAAAACAAAAAAAAAAAAACACATGGCTAACCAACTTGGAAGGGTTCACTAATCAACACTAAAACCCAACAGGTTTTTTTTTTTTTTTTTTTTGCTTAGTTTTGCTTGTGAATTACTGATTGAAAAAGCATTTTGCACTTGAGCCAAGCATTGGTTTATTCATTGCATTCAACAAATCTTTATTAAATGCCTGGCTTTGTTTAGTTTGGCAAAGAAAAAACAGCCAGTTGTCTGTCATGGGTAGTGGTGGTGGCCATGTGGGTACTGGACTAAGAGTGGGTTATAGTGGGGAAATTAGCCTTGGTGACACTAGCAGGACAATCTAAAAATCCTGTTCAACCTTCCCTTTCTCAACGTGACAGGCAGCAGTTCTGTTAAATTCTCGGGCTGCAAGGGTTACGTGGGGTGCGTTTCCCAGGGAACTTTGGTCTCCTCTATGTACAGAGCTAAAGGAAGCAGAGACCGTGCTGTGCTGCCCTGATATGAATTTGCCTCCACCTCCTTCATGGGATTAATACAGGTGACAAATGAGGGGTTTGCCTTGGGGGCTTTGAGATGGCAAAACAGAGAGAGCCCTTCCTTGTCACTGTCATCTACGCATCCCATTTTGCATTGTTAGTTATTCCGTGATGCTTGGGAAAGCACAGCAGAGAAGACTTTACTGAGGACCATGTGCCATGAGTGGAAGAGGAAGACGGGGCTCTACGCAGTGGCCTGGGCGGGCAGGAATGTACAGCCCAGGAGCAGGCTGGGTCAGTGAATGGAAAACTAAGAGGAAACATCACGGGTAGGGAGGATTCTTGCTGAAATCGGGCCAGGGTGACCAGACAGCACCTGGGGGAGCAGTCTGACAGCAGAGATTGTGATGATCAGATACCAAGACGGGGGTTCCCTGGTATTGACTGAGCAGTGTTCATTAACACTGGATTTTAATAGGTCTAGGAAAAGGCTCAGAAGCCTTACCAAAGCTTAAAGGGGGGTGGGGGGTTGGCACTATGGTTAAGCCGTCATTTGTTATGCCCTCCTCCCATAAGGTTAGCGTCCCAGCTCCACTTCTGATCCAGCTTCCTCTAATGTACACACTGGATGGCAGCAGGTGTTGGCTCATTACATTAGCTCCTGCTACTTCACGGGAGACCCAGACTGAGTTCAGGGCTCCAGGCTTCAGCCCGGCCCAGGCTCTGGCTGTTGCAGGCATTTGGGGAGTGAACCAGTGATAGAAGATCTCTTTCTCCTGCCTTTCAAATATATAAAAGGAAAAAAGTTTGGCCAAGCAAAGAATCTACATCAGGATGGAGTATTCCTGTGCATGACTTCCTCCTAGATGTCACCTCGTGGCCCAAAGTCTCTGCAGAGTACCTTGGCTCCCACTGTCACATCTATGATCCCCTCATCAGGCTGGGGAAAGAGCTCAGGACAAACAGCCTCCTTCCAGCTGGGCAGATGCCCGTCACCTGCACAGTTTTCCTCCATCCGCTCTCAATAGTTCTCTTATTAGTCACACAGGCCACCTGGCCACATCTAGCTGCAAGGGGACGAGCTAAGAAATGTAGTCTTTCAGCGGCCCTGAATAGAACCAGGATTCTGTTGTTAAGGAAGGAGATAAACCAATCCCACGTGGCACCTAGCAATGTCTGCTCCAGCTGCCAATCAA